TATTAGTTATAGTAGTAGACTGTAGTACTACTACTCTTTACTACTATATAATAATATATATATATATATATATATATATATATATATATTTTTTTTTTTTTTTNTTTTTTTTTTTTGGTATACATCTAAACATTACTTGGTCTATAACTTTTGACTTGGTGTACATAACTTTTGACTTGGTATACATAACTTTTGACTTGGTATATAACTTTTGACTTCGATGTACATCTAATTGTCCCCCTCAAGTTGGAGTGTGAATATCAAGAACACACAACTTGCGGATTAGAGTATTGAACTGATCATTGCCCTACGGTTGAGTGAAAATGTCGGCAACTTGATGAGATGCATGGATGTATGAAAGGTTGTAGGAGGCCTTCTCAAATTTTATCTCTGAAAAAGTGGCAGTCAATTTCTATGTGTTTTGTGCGCTCGTGGAATACTGGGTTGGCAAGTTTGGCCCCAAACAGCCCCATGTCTTCTAAGATCTCACGTGTATAAACAAATACCATTGCGAAAGCAAGCGACCTCAACGCCAAGGAAGTATTTCAAAAGACCAAGGTCTTTAATATGAAACCAGTGATGGAAAAATTCTTCGAGTCTATCAATAGCATTTGTATTATTTCCAGTAATAAGAATGTCATCCATATATACAAGGACCACAGTAAACTCATTTAGGGCTTAAAGAGTAACGAGAGAATAGTCAGCCTTGGATTGTGTAAAACCAGCATCTTTAAGAGTAGTTGAAAACTTAGCAAACCACTGTCGGGACGCCTGTTTGAGATCATAAAGAGACTTGTGAAGACAACAAACACACGTCTCCCCTTGTCTTGAAAAATTGAGAGGGATAGTCATGTATACTTCTCATTTCAAGTCCCCATGTAAGAAGGTGTTTTGGACGTCGAATTGATGTAAGGGCCAGTGTCGTATTCGTATAGAAGTAAGAGCTTAGGCAGCGTACAATGACTAACTTTGCGATTGGAGCAAACGTTTCATGGTAGTCAAGACCTTTTTATTATAACCTTTGACAACCAGTCGAGCCTTGTAACGCTCAAATGAGTCATCAGAGCCTTGTAAACCTCTATATATATCTCCTCTCAAAGTAATGAAGAAAATACAAGTTTTTCCCATTCAAGAGCCAATTGTATTCTTAAGCACAATTTGCTCTGTTGCGTGATTTTTTTTCTTGGGTTTTATATGACTCATGCAAATCTCAGAGGATGCACTAATCGTTTATATTCCTTAAGAGTTATGGCCTTTTGCAGAATGATAACAGCTCATCTCATCTCTTCTCAAGATCCTGCTTCACTATAGA